CCCGAAGTTGATAAATCTCTTACTTTAATCATTCTTAAATATGAAGAGTAATCTAAGAACGGTACACTGTCCCGTGGTCACTACGGTTTTATTAAACCGGAATTTTAACCAGATTCGATAGCATCACATACACGACGTCGTTTTGTAATCGAGGGTATATATGTAAATATTGAGTATGAACATGTACTTTATGGTCATTGCAAGTTCCATTTCCCCCATTTTACGCTCGATCTCCATTGTTCCGAACTTCCGATTTGCCGGTCTTCGAAGTGGAACTGTGGCAGTGACGAGAGAGAAGTGAAGATCCGATCTATTAGGGTTTTTGAGGTAACTCATCACAATTTCTTCAATCATGGAGAAATTTCTCGTTTTCTCTGCTTTAACCTGTCTTCAATTTTGTGTCTGATTGGTATATGTTACGGTCTTAATTTTTCCATGTATGGTTAGGATTTAGAGAAATCCATGGCTGGAGCTGGAACAGGAACATCTATGCTTGGATCTCTTCTCTTGTTTACAGTGATACTCTCTCTTCAAGAAATTTACAGAGGAAAGTTAGCTTCTTCAGAAGTGTTCACGATTCTTGGTGGATTCACAAGCTCTCTCCTTTTTCTCTTTTCTCTCACTGTAAGTATGCTTCAGTAAGAAATTTGAGATCTTTCGTTTACTCGCATTCCGCTACATTGTTAAGAGTTACGGTTTTGGATTTGATGAATTGGATTCTTTTACTTGCAGTTCATTGGAAATTTCCAGGAGTCTTCTGGTATGAAGAGTGGATGGGGTGCAGGTATGTATGTTTCTTCTTGGAATCATGAATATCAAAAACCATCGAAATCGGAATTCTAGTTCAGAAGTTTGAGGACATGAGAGTGGAAATTTGATGATGCCTTAAGTTTACTTTGTGATAACATGTTACAAGAACTTTGCTTTTTATGTGTTAAAAAGGCTCTTTTAGTGAATCAGATATTGGAGCTTGAAAATTGTCATCTAATGTCTTGTCTGTATTCACTTATATAAGAATCACAGTGACAAACAGCTTGAGTTGGTTTGCCTCTTCTTGCTTCTGCTGCGTGAAAGTGGTACACTCAACAAGGGTTTGCAATTGATTGAAATCATTTTTTGTTTGTTTTCATGGCAGTCATTCTTGCAGAAGTCATAGCTCTTATCGCTGCTAGCACGGTGCATCGGGTTTGTATTACAACCTGGTAAGTGGAAAATTCACTAGCTCTGCTTGATTTATCCGTCTTCCATGTTTAACTATTTCATACCTCTCTTGCTAAGACCGGTGTGGTGATTGGGATGGTGTTTCTTGATCTGCCTGCAGTTTCTTGTTCTCTGCTGGGCTATTATACGAGATGAACAAGGTCTCGGGATACATGCTATCCAAAACCGAGTCAAAGTCTAAGAGACACTGACTGAACCAAAGGATGGAGTTGGTAAGGAGGAGATAGTCTTGTCGACTTAGATTTTGTTTGGCACTAGAAGATCCAATAATACTTTATGTGAGTTGTAGGTCTGTTTCCTTTGCAGCTTATAAACATAGACAGATCTTTTATTTAGTTGTGTTGATCTTATTGGAGATACTGAATTGGAGTCTTTTGGCCTTGATATAGTATCATCTGTGAGGGGCACATCAAATATCATCTCATGTATCGAAACCACAACAATTGCTTATTTCAATTTCAGTTACAATTTTACAACAATTGAAATGGATACTATCATCCTAGCCGTTCACACTAAACAAAACATGTCAAAAATGCTCGGGATCAGCTGTTGTGGGACGTACTAATCTATGTGGTTCATACGAAACATAAGAAAGTCAATCACACAAAGGCTCATTGACCAAAAGGTTCATCTTTTCATTAAGAAACTTGAGCACATCTTCTCTACCTTCTTTGAGAAGCAGCTGTCTTAATCTCCCAAACGTCACACCCGACGGTCGAATCCCCATCTCGATCATCTCCTCCAACAAAACACAAGCTTTTTGAGTGTTACACTCTTCGCACAACCCGTTAATAAGAACTGCGAAAGTATGCATACTCGGGAAAACCCCTTTCGTCCTCATGTACTTCCACACCTTATCTGCTGTCTCCATCTCTTTCTTCTCGCAAAACATCTTTATCATCATTGTGTATGTGTCTGCATCTGGTTCACACACTTTGATCATCTTCCTAAAGACATGAAAAGCTTCATCTTTCTCACCACTATCTATTAGATGGCGTAGAATGATGTTACATGACTTGGAGTTAGGCGTCACATCCTTACTCTTCATTTCTTTCAAAACCCTATACACATTTTTCATCCTATTTGCTTTGCAAAATGCGCCGATCAATGAATTGAAAACCGCTACATCAGCTTTCATTCCACTTTTTTCCATCTCGAGGAAAGTATCAACCGCCTCTTCAAGCCGGTTCTCAGTTCCATAAGTATGTACAAGCACACTATAGATAAAAGTGGTCGGCTTGCAAATGCTTGGATCCATGCTCCTCACAATGCCAAGAGCTTCATCGACTCTTCCAGCTTTACAAAGTATGTCAACCATTATACTATAGGTCACAATATCCGGGTGACAACCCGCGTCAATCATTTCCCGAAAAACCTCTCTCGCCTTTGGCAAGTTGGGTTCTTTACCCCATCCTTCAAGCAAAATGCTATAGGTTTTGGAGTTGGGCGTAAACCGATCTCTCATCTTCTCGAATATCTCCTGCGCTTTCCTCACATTCTTAGATTTACACAAAGCACTCAACAATCCATTAAACGCCACAAGATTAGGCGGCAAATCATACTTCTCCATCACATTGAACGCGTAAATCGCCTCATCCACTTTCTGCGCCCTCGCGTACTTCCTCATAACGATACAAAAAGTCTCCACATTTAGCATCTTCTTCTTCCTCATTGAGTTGATGAGATCCCACATGAGCTTGTACTGCCTTATCTTTGCCGTAGACTCGATCATCATATGGTAAGCACGAACACTATGCTCGTAATGTCGTTGCTTCTCAGACCATTGAAAGAACCTGTATGCCAACAAACCAGCATTCCTGAATCTGTTCAAAACATCTTCTGCTACTTCCGGTGAAACCCTAAAACCGCTTTGATCTAAAGCCGAGTCAAGCACTGATTGTGGAGAAGACATCATTACTTTAGATATGTTATTTGCCACTTCCGCAACATCTATCACTTGTCCACTTGAACTGTACAGCTTCGCAGACATAATACTTTTACAACATAATCTGGATTGATGATGTAGAATTCTGATCGTCATGTTGACTCGAACCCAAACTGTAGCAGCAGAGCTACATTCCAATCGC